GGGGGGGGGGGGGGAGACGCGATCTGTCGGCCATTCTGCCGCACGAATAAACTTGTTGCATTAAAGTAATAATGGCAGTTGTTGGCCGCCGTGTCGCCGGTTACCATATTATGTTCGTGACGGTTTGGTTAACTGGAACGATCACCGATCGGTCGGTCGGGGTCCGGCCAACTCGGAACGAGTATCCCGTTCGAACTCGCGACTCCGCTTAACGATGTTCATCCCATTAGAACACTGTCGTAGCTCATTCCCTCCCCCTTCCCTGCCCCTGTCGCGCGTGTGATCGCAATTTAGTCGTCCGTGATTTCGACAAACCGTTCCGGCTGGCCGTCGTCATGCATAGCTGCTTTCAATGCCGCGGCCTCGCTGTTTCCATCCAGTCCATCTGAATTCGCGCCGTTTTAACGATTCGTTTTATAAGCACAATAAACGACAAGCTTCGTTCGGCCGCGCGCGATACGCGCCCTCACGCGCCGGCACGACGATCGTTGCGGCCTTCTGCACGCGAGATCTTCCGGATCATCGCATGTTCTTCGCGCGAAACTGTTAAGATTAATGATTTAATTATCTAAATGCGACAATATAATCTGCGGCAACATAACGATAACAGGTTTGTGTATGAAAACGTAGTGTTGAAATTCTAGATATCTAAATATAAGTGTCATAATTCTGCTAAATTATAAAGTCGTCGAGAGATCTCCTACGTGCCGGAATGCCGCTGCTAAACTACTCAATTTTCGGAATACGTCAGATTCAACTGAACGAATTTACGGAATATATACCGTTTATTACACGTAACCGGCGATACATGCGCTTTTTCGCGTTCCCCAGAGAATTGTTCGTTCTACATTCGTGATGCTTCATTGAATCATGCTCCGCAATTACATTGCAACGTAGCGATGTTCATTTATTAACGATCCGTTATCTCGATGTTTTGCAGGTTCTACTGTCGAGTTACGATCATCAGTTATCCGCCGATAGGAAGTACCTCATGTTTACTCTCAATCTTCAAAAGGTGAGTCTTACTTTTTAAACTTTTGACCAAATGTTAAAGGGATTATTCGCGTAGTCGACATCGAGTAAAAAGCAGACCCGAGTTGACATTTTAATGTTATTCTGACGTCCTTAAAGATAGCTTACGCCTACTTGGACAGTCTATAGAATAATGACAATAAACCTACTTTACCTGATACTTTTTAACTTCTCTTTTGAATTGACTTTTAATTCTACAAATTGAATTCTAACGCTGCGTTCAACAGCCTCTGACGCTAAAACAGCGAGAACGTAAATTTAAGATATCATCCGAATCACAGTTGGAGTTATATTATTAGAATCGAAATTAATCTATTTTTTAACTTTAGCTGCTCCTATGTCGTAGAATTAAAGGTTTAACGTTAAGAGTCAAAATTTCGATTTCGGAAGCTAAGAAGATACACGGTCGGCAAAATGTTGCCCGATTATGATTACAACTTTAAGTCCGATGGTCTGATGGTGTTAGTGCCGGTTCTAGCTCGATGCACCCGTTCTCACAAACATATACATGCAAATGAGGATTACAACGGCGCGGTGTAATTGTTCGCGGCTCATCCTTACGAGCTAGTAATTTCCGACTTTGCGTGTCTAATGTTCTCGCAATAAACTCAACGATAGTCTATGAATTCTAATACAATGAATTTTAATGCAAGTATTAACGAAGTGTCTTCTCGTCGTAATAATGACTCTCTCTGCACAATTGAATGACGGTTAATTTACACTTTCGTTCAACAAGTGTCCCGAATTTATCTTGCACCTTGGTATTTTCCTGTCTCCGTGTGCCACCTCGGAGCGCGCATATTCCGAAAATTATCCAGGTAAAATCACAATTTAATTCTCATTTCGCAAAATAAACCGTGTCCCTTCGGGACGGTTACCAATCCGCCGCGTTCAATCGAGAGTATTTAAGGGCTCCCTTCCAAAAACTCGTTATTTCGAAGTCGACATAATTCCGAATTCAGGTATTCGATCGAAACGATGAAGAGCGGAAACGCCGGGAGAATACCGCCGCGGGCGCTGCGGTGTGGCAATCGTGGAAACGAGGAGGACTATCCGGAAGTTCGTATTGCCGTATGGAATGACTGTGATAAACGTTTCGTTCGCGCGCTCCTTTCCCCCCGTCGAACCGGGCGAATCGTTCGTCAGGTGGCCCCCACCGTACGTCAGTAGGAAACCGCTTAAACTTCCAAAGACCAGTAATTATGAGGAGCCGGGGATCTCTCCGAGACCACGTTTTGAGCGGATGCGCTTGAGCAAGTCGCGTGAATAAATCGCGCGATACAAGTCTAGTGAATAATGCTATAAATACGCTATACTGAACAAAAATATATTCAACAAAAATTTCCCGCGTGTTCAGCTTCAAATCGTGGGCGTTTACGCTCAGGATTAATTCGACGAGATTCGCGGAATCCTTCGGAATAACAAATCCGGCGGTCTCGATTTCCAAAAGAAATTCGTCTTCGCAAATCCCCGACACGAATTCCACAGCAGATCGGGATTTTCGTTTCCACTCTCCGATCTTGATTCGTCGTTCCAACGAGCTCGAGTGATGTCGCAACCGCGTGCGGATTACCGCCGCGTCGGGCTACAACTCGCGGCGCGGTCCAGTTAATTCGACGCGATCGTGAACGCACGCGAGAGAGAGAGAGAGAGAGAGAGAGAAGTTAAACCACGACGCGCCGTGGCAAACTAAACACCATATAATACCCGACACGGCCGCGCGGGATTCTACGATTGTATGCGACGGTCACCCCGTCCTCTCGCAACCCCCGCGCCCTGGAATCACCGTCGGCGGCCACCACCCCATAACCGACCAACAACCGTCCGTCGTGCACGCCGCCGGTCCAATTGCATACATTACCGCTACCATATCTCCCTTTCGTCTCTCTCACCCCTTTCCCTCTCGCCCCCCCCCCCGCTCCTTTGTATGCGCCGACGGGCACGTTCTCGCGTGCGTCTCGGGCGGGTTAGGCGCGCTATGCAAACGGCTCGGTACTGCTGCTGCTGCTACCGGCACCCCGGCTGAAATCCTGAGTTATGTCCTAGGGGCGGACCATCTGGATTTCCGAAGAGGGAGCACTATCCGCCGGCGGTAATCGTCGGCTCTCCTCCTGTTACCGATCCGCCAATGTCTCCTCCGAGAACGCGCCCGGAGAGGTTCGATCAATTGGGCCGTTGCGCGTCCGTTGCTCGTTGCCGTGCTAAAAGGTAATATCGTGTCTCGTTAGGCGAAGAGGCCGGTTGCTTTGTACGGGATGATGGCGCACTGGGGTGAGAGCGCCTAGGCACGTCCTTAATTCTGAACACTTTGGCCGCCCTTTAATATTTAAATTAGAATAATCGAATTTTCAATGCAGAACAACATTTTCCCTCGCGTTCGAAAGTTTTTAGTTACGATATTCTAACGCTTAATATGAATAATTACTTTATCTATCGACGAAACGATCGATTGGAATTCCCTAGTTTTATTTTGATGCTCGCATTGAGAAAAATAATGAATTATATGTAAAGTTAATTATACTTGAATTAAGGGAATAAAGATACAGATAAGTTAAAATTATGTAGAAAATTGTGCAGATCAGGCAGATAATTATTTTGTTAAAATATATATTTCATTTGTTCACCGTGTTAAAAGTTGATTGTATAAGATAAATGTCCAGGTGTCAGTACATTTGCTTTAAAAAATTTGTCGCTTATAAAATAAATAATACCACGGAACGAGGTAGTGTTCAATTAATTTTTGCTCTTAAAAATTAATCTGGTTTTCGATTTACATGTTAATTATGCCAAGAGATTCTCTTTACGACTGTATAACATTCTCTCTCATGGTGTTCTTAACTGTTCAGAGATCGGTACATTTACCTCAGATGTTGTTACGGCGAGATAGTCGTGCAGAAATGATTAGTAAGAGAAGTTTCTACGAAGCGCCCTCTTATCACCGTGGCGCGACTGCGAAAATCTTTCGCAATTAAGAGACACGTTAAATTACGTTGAAGGTATAAGCGGCAGTTATGCAAAGTTAGTATCGAAGCTCTATTCGAGTGCTCTTATTTATACGCGATATTAACATGTAAAACCGCGGAATCGGCTATCGGTGAAAGCTGTTGGCCACCAATAACGAGCAGCTGGTGTGGAATCGCGTGTTTTAACGGTTCTCGAGTTTCAGTTTTATATTAAGTTTACTTAATTTTACATTAAATCTTCAAGAGTTTTCTGTTGTGCTCCCTTTGATGCTATAAAAAGCAAAGTTATTTCCGTTTTCTTCACTTGAAGACTTAACGTAGAAATTGAGATTTCCCCTTGGGAGGTTTAAATTCCCTTTGCAGCATCAAAGGAATATTATTAGCTCTCCTTTGATGTTGCAAATGGGAAGTTATTTCCATCTTCTCCGCTTGAAGACTTAATGTGGAACTAAGTAGACTTAACGTAAAACTAAAATTTTGACTCAGGTATTTACGTCTGAAATTTTCAAAAACAATTCACCCGCAGCGTCAAATTATACATCGACCGTACACTATGGGTCTAACTGCGTCGAATTCGGATGGTTCCCAAACACGCATCAATCGATTTATCGAATCCGCAGCTATGTCTAACGTATAGAGCAAACTCTAACGATTTTGCGGAAGTGGAGAGAACTCATAGATCACGCATTTCTCTTCGCCATAACTCTTTAAACGCAACTCACCTGGGCCTGTCTGATTCATGAAACGGTCGAAGAATATGGCGTCGAAGTTGTAACTATAATTGTATAATTTTTATTGGACTTATGGCATCTAATCACGCCAATTCGCATCCCCTGCATAATTGTGTAAACCGCAGTGTGTACGTACACCGTCGAATATACAGGCAGAAGTTCGAAATGTAGAAGTGCTCGCCGCGGCGCGTTATTGATTAAACTCAACGCGGCGTCTAAGCAAGGGACAAAAAGCGGGCGCGGTGGAGATTTTTCTCGTTAGTAGTAATTAAAAGTTTTCGTCTGCTGATATTTTTCTTCGTTAAAAATTCCGTTTTATCAATTTTTCTTCTCGTAATGCCGCTATCCAAAATATCACAAGCGGCATCTGGCGCGCGCGTTATACTTCTAATACTTTACGAAATTATGCACTATTAATACCGCGGAGTTTTCGCCTGGTGCGGTCTAGCCCCGTCTTTTGCTATATTTTTATAAATTAAACCTTACGTGCGAGCGGATTTCGCGTGATATTTCGAGGAAAGTTAGTGTCGCTGTATACATATGTTTCAAGTGTAACGTATATTTAAGAGTAAACGAGATACGTCGTTTCGCTCGTTCTTATTATGAAAAGTGACGACACGGCGCAGAAAAGCAACACGGCAACACTCAAATCTTCATTCGCTTGATGAAATGATCGCCGACGTTGAAGCATCGCCGCGTTAATAAAGTTAACGATATTAGCACGCGACTACCCGAATCGAAATTCTAGTTCTACATCAACTCTGCAAATCCCATCGAACTGGAAGGACTCCGGATTTGCTGTTAATCCTTCAAGTTTGACGGTATTTGCAGGATTAACGTAGAGCCAAATTTCGTCTCGGATATAGAAGAAAGGGTGGGGAAGGGAGCGTTAAGATGACAACCTTAAGATTGGTCGATTTTTCTTCATTTTCGTAGCGAAAATAATGATCAGTTTTTCTCCTGAACAGCCAAAGTCTTTGCCTATCATCTGCATAAGATAAAAAATTTACAAATAGATTAGAATTTTTCTTATTAAAATTTTTTGAGAATGTGTCAGTTTTAACATCTTGCCCTCATTCGTGGATATAAGATTACGAAGGTTAAGAATAAAGTTTTTATACGTACCAAAAATAATTTTAAAAAGAGAGAGAGAGAGAGAGAGAGAGCTCGATCGCTTTCAACACATCGGACATCATTCATCTCCAATGCCGATCGTTCACCCTTACGCCGTCGCTTTCCGTCCAGCCGCGGCCGAAAGTACCGGGGTTGCCGCTGCGAAATTAAATGTG